AGTTTTGAAGGTAAACCAACTGATTTGGTTCAATGCATCCTGCCACTGCCAATGTTCAAAAAAATGAAAAAAAAAAAAAATAACAATGCAGACATGCAAAACTGATATGAATGAGGAAGTACACATGCGAATGGGTGCGAAAGTTGTACTATCCGAAAAGATAAAGAACAGTGATGTCTAAGTGAACATTACATAGAAGTCGATACGAGCACTTCCCATGCACCTATATTTTTCAGACTCAATGTCTATATCTGCCACCAGTCCTGAAATGAAATAAAATGTGTTCATGAGATTTTAAAAATGTTACAAACTAATTGCAATGGTCTAAATCACTCTCATCTATCATAATACGTCTGCCAACAATTACCAAAGTGAGTAGCAAAATGTAGAAATTTAATCACAAATCTGGCAAACATAAATTTCTATCTATATACCCCATGCAAGCATCAAGATGCTGAAGAATCTAGTCTTCCCTTGTAAAATAGTTGCCACATCCAGAGAACATTTGTGACCTGTTAAGTAAGAAAAACATGACGTAGAAAAACTTATCAAAGAGAAAGAACAATATTGGATATAAATGGCAAAAGTCCTTCTATTCAGAAACCAATTCTACTAATTAAAATTACCATTTACCTCGAATAATTGACAGAATGGCATTAAATGCAGTGCAGGAATGACCAACTAAATGCAGTAATGATTTCGCCATACCATTTCCAGTGCCTGCATAAAGGAAAAACCGGTGTCAGACATCAAGGGGAATGGAGAGAAGTTTACATTGTTGAGACTTTTGAAGAAAATAATGAAGGGTCTAGAGTCCAAAGTCAAAACAAGCACAATGAAGACCATTGAACAATTATGAATGATAAGTTTGGCGATAAAAAATTATCGAAAACATTTTCATAGGATGCCATGTTGTCATTGAGAGAAATGAATGAAAATCAATTCAGGAAGGAAGATCCGAAAAGTATGGCATCATGACAACAAGGAACCTTGTTTCAACCAATGTGATGAGTAAAATATGCATGCCAAATATCCAAATATTACTCGAGCACAGCACTGATCATTTTTTCTTTGACGGTAACAAGAAGACAGCAGTCACAGTAACTATCATACAGTATAAGGAAACGAAGGGTATACAATTTAATCTTTCACCAGCATTATCTTCATGAATATTTAATCTTCTCATCATTATATAGTTACATGTTGTAGAAAGACACAAATAACAAGATTTCTTTTTCTTTTGCTTTGAACTTCAGATAGTGTATGTAAGCAGAGAAGGGCTTCTAGGGGGCAACTACTCCCAATCCTCTGACCCTCAACAGAGCACTTGTGCGAATAAAATAAATATACAAATACAATAAAGAGAAATAAACCTGCAGGAACAATGCCAAGCGGAATTTTTATGGCATCTCTCCAATCATCTCTTTCAAGCAATCCATTTACCACCTACTAAAATGTGCAAAAATTGTAAAGGAAATGTATTACAATAAATTCAAGGTTTAAGAAAACAAATGGAAAACAAATATTCTGAACAGAAAATCGAAAAGGCAGACTTGTGTGATCCCAAATGATAACCATGGTTTAGCTTAGTAATTTCACCTAAATTTATAGATTTGTCAATGCTAGAAATCTCCAGGGCCAAATTCACACAAGTTGGCCAATAAATAGGTCTATTTTTTCTCTCTGTTTTTTTTTTTTTTTCCTTTCAGAGAAAGCTAGAAAAGTCAGAATGAGGAATAACGAATGATGGACCCTAGTTGAAGTCCCATAAACAGCATTCCTTTTAAAGAACGTAACTACAGTTTACTCTGAGGTAAATACAACACAGGGAACATAACTTGGGAGCCGCAGATTCTGCAAAGTTTCTGACCAGAAGCAAAGCAACTATAAAAGGAATATATTCATAGAAGTTTAAGAAATAAAAAATGTAC